CAAACTACTAGTCTAATGAGCTGATTTCATTTATGTAGGAAATTAGGAACACCTGTGTTCCCCAACACTAGAATGCGGAATTGTGGATGCAGTTGGTGGTTAGTTCTGAGTTTGTTGGGTATTTTAGAATCGGCTCTAGGGTCCGTTGAATTGCCGCGAAACTTCCCGCACGTGTCGTGCGCGGTACTGTTCTACTTTTACCTCTTCCCGCGGAAAGAAAAAAAAAAGGCAAAAACCCTTCAGAAAGCCCTATGCTTGCCGCAAATTAGTATTTAGACCCCTGAACTAAAAATAGTGCAAAAAAGCCCTCCAACTTCTCATCTGTTGAAAATAAACCCTGCAACTAAGGTGAAACTTGAAGCAAAAGTGCCGACCCTTACATAGTATATCGACACTCTAAGCAATTTTCAATTTTAAAACATTCTATTTTTAATTGATCCTACTCTCTTTTTAATAGAACATTCTTAAAATAGATTATAACTTAAGGTTCAATTACAAAACAATTACATATATTTTTTCATTGACAAAAGTTAAAAATACTACATACATTATTCATTATTCATAAATTGTAAAAGACAAGAAACCTAGGGTTAATAATTCATGGTATTTTTTAACTTACATAACAAAACTCAACTAAATACTATAAATTAAACTCTAAATTTGTGAAGAACTTTGACTTTGAGACTATAATTGCGATGAACAAGAAAAAGGCATGCCAAAACCCTATGTTAATCTTATTTCTGAAGGAAAAAGATAAAGAATTTTTGAAGAAGAGAAGAGCATAAAATGAGGGCAGAAACCCTAATCTTCTACATTAAATATTAGCTTTTTCTTCTTTTTTTTTTTTTTTTTTTTTTTGAGTTCTCAACTTTTTGGTTTTTTTTATTCATATTAGCATCTACATCTATGTAGAATGGTGCCACATTAGCATCTACATCCACATGGAATAGTTAAAGGGAAAGTGCATGTCATATCATTGCCATTTGGGACATTAGTGATAAGGGCTTATTTGCACTAATTAAAATTTTGGAGGACTTAAGTACCCTTTTGAGTTTAGGGCTTAAATGCTAATATGGGGTAAGTCTAGGGGATTAAGAAGAATTTTTGCCGAGAGAAAATGCTTTGGGGGTCAAGAAATCGGCGACTCGTATTTGAATTTTGAACTAAAAGGACGGCAGGTGTGGTGGAGATTGCCAGCTGTGCTTGCTGTTGCGCCACGTCAGCGGTGATGTATGGTTAAGGTGTTGGGAGGGTAGGTAGGTAGAAAGTGGGAAATCAGGAATGTAAGAATAAAGGAAAGTTGGAGATAGGAAGGTGGTTTGGCAAAAAA